TTCGGAAATAATGAGAAGAGGAAATGTCTGCACGTATTCAGTACAGAGTAGATGCCCCCATCTTGTCTTCTACTATTGTAGAACCTGCAGGTATAGAAAGGGCTGACTGTGAACTATACATGTGTCACCCACAGGGAAGAGCTGTGGTTACACTTTTCCCCTCATGGTAATGTTATATGTGATCTGACCTGGTTGCTTCTCTGTGACCAACTTTTTGTGTGAAATTTATTTTCTTGATCTTTTCCAGGGGAGGTATTTCCGACTCCACAGAACTTCCTCTAGTCTACATATGTAGTGTTTACGGGCAGAGTAGCTGGCTTTCTGAGACAGCTAGTGTCTTAGGCAATGTTCTGTTGTTGTGAAGAGACAGACACCATGACCAAGGCAACGCTAATAAGGGAAAACATTTAATTAGGGATGGCTTACAGTTCAAAGGTTTAGTCCATTGTCATCATGGCAAGAAGCATGGCTACATGCAGGCAGATGTGGTCCTGGAGAGTAATTGAGAGATCTACATCCAGATCTGCAGTCAGCAAGAAGAGAGAAACACTGGGCCTGGATTGAGCATATGAGACTTCAAAGCCCACCCCAAGGACACACTTTCTCCAGTAAGGCCTTACCTCCTAATAGTGCCCCTCATTCATGACCAAGCATTCAAATCTATGAGCCTCTGGGGAGCATTCTTAGTGAAACTGCCTCAGCTAGACTCTGCCCCTTTGCTCTGATGAGTGTGGACCTATATTCTCTCCTTTACCTATGTCTGTATCTTGCTGAGTTTTTTTTTCATTTTTTATTAATTAGTATTATTTATTACAATTTATTCACTCTGCTGAATTTTGATTCTATTCTTACTGGTTGAAGGTGGTCCTGTGTAGTCTCACCTTGACTTCTTGCGTTCACATGTAGCCTTCTAGTTTCATTTAATCTGCCTTCTTCTTTATATTTAATTCTTCCTGACTCTCCTCAGATCCATCTGTTGGTTTTTGTTTCTGTCCTTCTGTGTAGGCTCTGTGTCATGAAGGTCTTGTGATAGCATCTTGTTCTTGGTACATTTTCACAATGGAACACTACTCAGCAATTAAAAACAAAGAAGTCATGAAATTTGCAGGCAAATGATGGGAGCTAGAAATGATCATCCTGAGTGAGGTATCCCAGAAGCAGAAAGACACACATAGTATATACTCACTTATAAGTGGATATTAGACATATAATATAGGATAATCATACTAAAATCTGCACACCTAAGGAAGCTAATCAAGAAGGAGGACCCTGGGTAAGATGCTCAATCTGCATTCAGAAAGGCAAATGGGATAGACATCAAAAGAGGGAGAAAACAGGGAACAGAACAGGAGCCTATCACAGAGGGCCTCTGAAAGACTCTACCCAGAAGGGTATCAAAATATATGCTGAGATTCATAGCCAAAATTTGGGTAGAGTACAGAGAATCTTATGAAAGAAGAGGGAGATAGAAAGACCTGGAAGGGATAGGAGCTCACAAGGAGAGCAACAGAACCAAAAAATCTAGGTCTTTTGTGAGACTGATACTCCAAACAAGGACCATGCAAGGAGGTAACCTAGAACCCCTGCACAGGTATAGCCCATGGCAGCTCAGTGTCCAAGAGGGTTCTTCAGTAATAGGAACAGGGACCGTCTCTGACATGAACTCGTGGGCTGGCTCTTTGATCACCTCCACCTGAGGGGGAAGCAGCCTTCCTGAAAAGGCAGACAAAGAAACCAGTCCTGATGAGACCTGGTAGACTAGGGTCAGATGGAAGGGGAGGAGGACCCCCCCCCCATCATTTGGACTGGGGGAGGGGGATAGGAAAAGAAGAGGGAGGAAGGGTGGGATTGGAAGGGAATGGGGCATGGGCCTACAGCTGGGATACAAAGTGAATAAACTGTAATTAATAAAAATAAAACAAAAATTAAAAAGAAAACAAAACAAAAGAAAACAAAAAAAAATCACCTCCCTGTCTGTTTTTATTATGCTGTCAAGTTAGTTTTTTTGTTTGTTTTTAGTCTGACCCACAGCATATACTCACCATTCCTTACGAATCCTCACATTCTCTGCCCAGGATATGTTTTCTTTTTTCATGAAGTATATTCTTTATTAATCAACTCCCTTAAGTTTACAATTTTCTGAGGATAACTTTTTGTGCCTATCTCCTTGAAAGACTGTTTTATTAAATATAGTTGTTTTGCTCTTAGCACATTCAGCATATTATTTTAATTTTCTATGGATTTTACTAACAAAACTAAGTAGTTACTCTAACTGTTTGGTCTTTACTGGTGATCTTCCCTCTCTCCCTGGTTGACAAAGGAATATTAAGTGTCTTTGTACAGGTTCACTCTATGTCTTTGATAATTTTCAACCACTCAGTTGAGAAGTACTGAGTTTTAAGTACTATCTTTATCCTCCCTAACCTTCTCCTCTTCTTGCCCTCAGTCTGGGATTATGGTATACAGTTATAAGTTCTTCTGTTTTCCATGTCTCTGAATCTCCTGAGGTTCTTTCCACTTCCTTCACAGGAATGAACCTCTTTACTTTTTTTATCCAATGCTCTCCCATTAAAACCTTACTATTATTTTCCTTGATGTTTACTCATAATCTACCAAGTTATCAAGTTCTACTTTTTGTCCCTCTCCAATGCTTAATACAGCCTGACTCAACCTCCTTTTTATTGTTTCTTTCTAGCATTTTCTGTCCTTTAAGTGCGAACATGGTATAGAGCCAAAAACAAATCAAAACAAAACAACAACAACAACAAACTTGCACTTGGAGGTCTGAAGACCCAAGATAAAGTCTGGGCTCTACCTTCAACACCTCCATGCCCTTGGGAAGTCCTGAACCTCAGTACTCTTCATTACAATATGGTGATAATAAGATGGTATAAATACTAGATGTAATAGGGAGGTCATAGTATATCCAGCTAGCACCCAATTATGGTCCTGACATAAGTTTCTCATGACCCTTAATACAACCTTTGCTCTTCATGCCCCAATATTGAAGCATTTATAGGAGATTCATGATGAGAGAACTGGATGCCATTGTTAGGACTCAAAAATGTAGTAATGATGTAGTTCCTAGAGTAGGAAGCCCCTCACAAGTGCACAGCCTTGTTTTAAAATAATTTCTCTTGCTGGAACAGAATGCCTGGTCAAGTAGCAATTTAGAGGATAAATGATTTATTTGGCTTACAGTTTTAGATAATAGTCTGCCACTGTGAGTTGAATCAGGGCCAGGAACTTGTACGTCACAACTTCAGTGAAGAGCAGGAAAAAGGTGAAAGTGTGCATGCTTAGTGTTCACCTAGGTTTTTCAACTTTTATACAGTCCAGGATTCCAAACCAGGGAATGGTGCTGCCTATTTTTCTGCTGGGTCTCCTACTATGAAGTTAAGACATTCAAGACAGTCCTGCATAGATATGCACAGAGGCAAGTTGGAAGTAGGTAGTCTCTCAGGTGATTTTACATTGTATCAAGCTGACAATTAAAACTAACAATCACAATCAATTTTTCTGTGCCTCTTATATAGGGTCACTCTTCGGACCAACTCTGACATAGGACAATATACTTTCTTTAGTTCTGTGGCTAGGCAGTCTTCCTTCTCCTCTTTTATCTCCTGGACTGGGAGAGCTAGCCATCTTGGTTGCCATTAGTCCTGAAACATGATGTGAGCAGTAGCCTTCAAGCATACTGACTGTCTTTAAAAGGGGTGTGTGGCAGTGTGTGTACATATGTATGTACCCTGCCTAGGCACAGGGAACATAAAGGGTGTGTGCCTTGTCAAGTAGACAAGTAGCTACACAGAGTTGATGTGCTATAATTAATTTGCTCTCCCCAAACAGCAGAAAATGAGATGGCCCCAACACCCAACAACTATCATCAGGATCAAAATCAACCAACCAACCAACCAACCAACCAACCAACCAACCAACCAACCAACCAACCAACCAACCAAAAACATGTGAAACCTTTTACTGGGCTTGAAAACCATAATGCACCTGTGAAATAGATTTGGGTTATTATCACATAAATATCAAAGAGCACTGGAGAAGTTAAGGTTCTGGCAGAAGATCTCTTGGTGGGGACAGGTGTTGAAGAATGTATATGCCTCTTCTGGCTCCCTCCCTTCTCCCTACTTCCCTGCTCTCCAGAGTTTGACCCACCAAATACTTGGCTTTTCCTAGTCACCTGGATGAAGACAGCTTTTAAGCATTTCTAGGATTTGTTGCCAATGTATAGGTAATTCCAAGGCAAGACCTGACTTCTACACTGTGGTGGTGCCACTGGACATAGGTTGAAGCACATTAGGAGGTCCTGGTCTTTGTGTGAAATGGAGTTCCGTCATTTTACCCATCAAGGAACTTGTGCTCAGTGTGCATAGGCACTCAGAAAAAGCTTAAATCGTATGCAGGGGCTGCATGTAAGATTGTAAACATATTCAAAACATTATGATTGTGCATTGTTTTAGAGTGAGTTTTGTTGATGAAAATTTTGTATTTCAATGCCACATGGGTTACATCTTCCTGCTTTAAAGGAAAGTGCTATTCAGGTTTCACCTATTGTACCAGGTCAATGTGGTGTGGTCCTCCATCATTCTGTCTAGTCATTAACTCTGGGCTTAAAGGCTCTCTAGTATTTGTAATCAATAGATGCTATAATTCCAGTTCATTAGTAATTCTTTGCTTACCTAATTAATCCAAATTAGTCTGGTTTAATTTGGAGAAGAGCATGCTCTACTCTGGTCCTTTTAGAAATGTTGTCCCCAGGCTCATGACTGGTTGTTCTGGGTCAATGTACTTTTGCAGCAACAGGAAGGGATCATCCAACCCCCACCAAAGGCTTTCTCCTCTCTTCCCACACCCTAGACAGCAGGGTTGGCCTATGAATTGAGCCAAAGAGAAAGGAGTGGGGAATGACTTGGCAGTGGAATATAAGGTATAGAACCTATCAATGCCTTTTAACTATTTTCCTTTCCTTTCTTCTTTTAAATTAGGAATTATTAGTCGAGAGAGTGCAGAAGACCTTCTGGAGAATATGACAGAGGGAGCATTTCTGGTCCGGGTCAGTGAGAAGATTTGGGGTTACACCCTGTCCTACCGCCTGCAGAAAGGATTCAAGCACTTTCTTGTGGATGCTTCTGGGGACTTCTACAGCTTTCTGGGAGTGGACCCTAATCGCCATGCCACCCTCACAGACCTCATTGATTTCCACAAGGTATCCCTCGTTGAAGTGTTAGTAGGGCATGGAATTGGTAGAAACTCTGGCTGAGGAGAGCCTGGAGCAAGTGCAGCAGGTGCAGGCTCCAAGCTAAGGCTGTAGGATCTCAGAGATATGGTGCATTGGGGTAGAAGAGGCCAACGGTCATCTAGGGCAGGCTCTGGGGCCCATGTTCTTCCCTCTGCCCCATGCCTTGACCTGCCTGGTGTACCTGTAATCCTAATCCCAGGCCTCTCTCCCCTGAGTACCTTAGCGCTGCCTGTTGTTAGCACAGGAGATGAGAGCTGGTGCCCTGTCAGAGCCTTTGTCTTAATTTCAGGAACACTTCAAAAAAAAAAAAAAGATTATCTCAGAAGACTGTGAGAGCCAGGAGTAGAGGAAGACTGTAAAGAAATATAAATTTCATGACACAACAGGGCAATTGGACATATGAATCAACAGTATTATGACAGTAAACATAAGACTTATGGAAATTCTTTTCTAGTTCCATCCATTTGCCTGCAAATTTCATGATTTCCTAGTTTTTAATTGCTTAGTAGCATTCCATTGTGTAAATGTTCCAGAATTTTTGTATCCATTCTTCAGTTGAGGGACATCTGGGTTGTCTCCAGATTCTGGCTATTATGAATAAAGCTGTTATGAACATAAATAAATAAATAAATAAATAAATAAATAAATAAATAAATAACCATTGGGGGGGAAAAAAAAACCTCCTACCCAGGACTCTGGCAGCATTGAAGCTAGCTGGAATGCAACAAGCAGTCATGTGGCTATAGCAACTTACCTCCACAATAGAGTCATGGCTGTTATTGTCTAAATTTGCTTTTTTACTTGGGACATGGATGACTTTGGCCATGTCACTTAGTCCTACTGCTTTTGTTGCCATTACAATAGAGCACAATACATCAGAAAATTTATAAGGAAAAGAAACCCATTTTTTCACCCCTTTGGAGTCTGAGAAGTCCAAAATGGAGGGACTGTCATGGAGAATTTTTTTTTTAATTCATCATCTCCTGGAAACATGTGGAAGAACGAAGGAGGGTAAGAGGTAGAGAGAGGAAGAGAATGGACAAATGCAGCAGGGGACACACCCAGGTCTATGGAGATGGCTCAGTGGGTCAACTGTGTGCTATATGAGAACGAGACCTGATCTCAGATTCCCAACACCAATATGGAAGCCAGTGATGCCAGCATAACTTGCACTCCATTGCTGGGTTGAGGGTGAGGTGGTAGAGACAGGCAGATCCTGAGAGCTCATTGGCCAGTCGGTGTAGCCAAAATGGCAAGCTCCAGGTTCAGAGGAGAGACTCTGCCTCAAAAATCAAGTTGGAAAGTGACCTCTGGCCTCCACACTTTCCTATGTGCACAGGCAACCTCACTTGTGTATACACATGTACATGCACACATCTCTCTCTACCTCTCTTTCATACACACACACATACAAACACATGCATGCACACACACAGACACAGGGGCCAAATTTACGCTATAACAAGGATCCCAGCCCCGAGACAATGGCTTTGATCCACTTCTGGAGCAGAACTCTTAGGACCTGATTGCCTCTTCTGGGTCCTATCCCTTAAAAATATTAAGTTGCAGTTATGCTTGGAACACATGCTTTTGGGGAGCACATTCAATCCATAACATTGAGCAGATGAATATACACACAGTGCTTATTTGAAATCTTGTGGACTTCCAACTATATTGTATCCATAGTGGATACATACTGGACACTGTACCTGTAATCCTGTGCCCACTATTGTCATTTGTCCTGCCATTGAATCACCTCAGGAAAGAGACTGTCTTGCCAATGTCTCACACATATCATAGTGAGAAGCAGCTATTGTGTTAATGCAGTTGTTGGCAGCTGTCATAACTGTAAGAACAGTTGTACCTCAGCAACTGTACCTCAGGAAGACCTGAGGGATTCTGAAATAAAGTTATGGGAACTTCTGGTCCAATATCTAATTGAGTTTCACAGGTGTAGAAGGTGTCACAGAACTGCTTGCACTGGGATTTTGCTGCTAAATGTTCTCTTCAGTTATATATTGCTTTCTTTGTTTTATCCACCCACAGAAGTCTTGAGAGGTATTTCCTCATTGGCTTATGAATAAAGCTCACAGAAAATTGCCTGCTTAGCCAGGCATGTTGGGAAAAACCTGTAATCCCAAACTGTGGATACTGAGGCAGGAGAATCACCAGTTCAAGGACAGCTTAGGTTATGTGGCTATAAGCAAAACAACAGCAGCAAACAACAACACCTCCAACAAAAATAAGACTACACCAAAAGCAGAGAGAGAAAAAAAGAGAGAGGAGAAAGAGAAAAGAAAATTGTTCATTCAGATACCTGGGCCAAGAGTACTGCTGTGGATCTAGACTGGGTCAGGGTACAGTTTTACTTGTGTTGGAAAGGGCCTTCTCATAGTCAGAGAAAGGCAGAAGGAAGGAAGTGTGTGGATTCTGGTAGCACTGTTCTGGGTCAAGCATACCAGCCCTCATAATCATGGTGACCTCTCTGTTATGGAGACATATTAACCTTTTTCAGAGACCAGGAAACCAAGACCAGGGAGGCTAAGGCACTTGGCTAAGTTCCAATGGCTGGTACCAGCTGCAGTCAGGAGTTAGGCTCCCAGAGGCCTTCCTCTCCAGTTTGTGCTTCTCACTGAGCCCCAATGTTTGTTACTCTTGTTCAAAATAAACTACTTCAGCAGCTGTGGCTCCTTGTTTTCCCCAGTGTTTCAATCAAAGAGTCAATGCCCAGCTCCTAGGGCAGGTTCTACACAGAGAGTCCAGTCCAGATATCTCTAAAGGCCTTTATTCATTCCAAATTTAAATTTTGGAGATCAACATTTTCACTTCAATCTCCACACAGAGATGTCACCTATGCCCACCTGGAGGTCTGGTGGTCAGTTTTGATAAATTAAATTTAATGACATCATTAATTTATGATTACATTAATTATGTCAGCCTCATTCATTTCAAACTCCTGATTGCATCTTCTAACTTGCTTTACCAACGTGTCATGTGTTATTTACTAGGCAGTAATACCAAAACTTATGCACATAAGAAAATATATAATTTTGTGATTTTTCACAACATATAGTTCAATAATTTAACTCTCAAACCCCATAGTTAGTAAACTGTAAATGTTTAAAGACATGGTCCTTGATATCAGAATGTCAGGTTTAAATCCCAGCTTCTTTATTATGCATGGCTTTGGGCTACAACTCAGGCTTTTGTGGCTCAGTTTTCTCTTCAGTAAGTGGATTCAGTGACATCCCTGGGATATTTCAATGACATATCACTGTTTAGAGTGATAAAAATTATGCCTGTCATTTCAACATCATCAGTAGGAGCTGTTTGTTATTAAAATGTGGTTAGGAGGGGTTGGGAATAAATATCAGGTATTACTGTATGCCTAACACAAAGCCCTGTATCTGAACCTCAGCACTGCATAAACAGGCTGCAAATGTAGATAAGTAAGTCTATAATCTCAACACTCAAGAAGGGGGAGAAATAAGGATAAAATGTTCAGTGTCAGTTTCAGCTACATAGTGAGCTTAAGGGCAGCCTGCAATGCATAAGAACGTGTCTCGAAAATATGCCTGGCAGATCTTTCCACATTAGTATATTTACCAGGAGTTGTAATGCTCCATGGATTCCCTCATATGGGTGTAGAGTACAGATTAATTACTCATTCCCCTCTTGTTCCCATCTTTCCACCTTCCAGTTTCATGATCGGGAACAGTGTTTCAGTGACTTTGTCACTATGGATACATATGCAGCATTTTCCAGGATTGATTCCTTGAACTAAAGTTGCTGGAAAGAAAAGTGTGCACATTTTAATTACAGAAGACCTGCCAGATTGCCTTTCATAAGCACGGCACCAATTCATGTTTTTGCCAGAACTATATGAGGCTGTTTCTCCCATCAGATGGGCAGACATTATAGCTCACTATTGTCTAGCTTGCATTTCTCTCATGGCCACTGTTGCTGAGATGTCTTTTAATATGCTTAATGGCTACTTCCGGTTAGTCACCTGTAAATTGTCTTTTCTTATTCATGGTCCATTTTCTATTTTTAGGTGTCTTTTTGTTGATGTTACAATTTCTGTATCTACCAAATTGCTCTTTAGTTTTATCTATTCTGCTGAAAATATTTTTAATTTAAACAGTCACGTTTCTCAATAGCATGCTCATTTTTTTTTTTCTTGTAACCAGTCTACTCTTCTTTTATGGATGACTTATCCTGTTGACATAGTGTAGATCTCTTAAAGCTTCCCTTTGTTTTCTCTATAAGTTTTGTATTTTCTTAGAAATCTGTTGAACTATTGAGTTTTGCATCTTTCTGTTACAGTTGAGGTGCTCCTTAAAAGCTTCAATAGTGAGACAGTCTTCCAACTTTCAATCTCAAGTTTATTCATGAGTAGGCAATTTTTGTTTTTCAGATGCAGTGCTTTCTGTTGTAGGCTTGGAGCCAACAACGAGTAGCTCTTTGAGGGGTATGGCAATGTCTGTGGTTTCGGTATCCTCAGCTTCACCAAAAACAGTGGCAAACTTTTATTTGGAGTCGTGTTTCTCACCTATCCCAGCCTGCACTTCTTCTCAGACCATATGTTTGTTTTTCAACAATTCTTTCACATTTTCACTTGCTGGTGGTCTTCCTTCTTATTTTCTCATACTATAAAGATGCATTTCTTTTTCTTCCCTTCCTCCTCTTCCTCCTCTTACACTTTCTCCTGCTCTTCTTCCTCCTCTTTTTTCTTGCATATCTTCTTAAAAGGTTTCCTCTTTTATTTTTAGAAAGTTGAGTGAGGGGGAGGTAGACGCATGGCTTTAATTTTTCTGTCTCCATCCATTCTCTACCTGACTCCCCATGAATGTTTATGTCTCTTCTGGATCTTAATTTCCTTTCTTCTTTTTCCCTTTAGGAGGAAATCATCACGGTTTCAGGTGGAGAGTTGCTGCAGGAACCCTGTGGACAGAGGGATAGCCCACCAGACTATCACCTGTTGTTTGAATGATTTGTTTTTCTCCTCTTTAAACTCCTTCGAATATTCTGATTTTGAACTGAGCTTAAGAATGTCCCAATTCAAACCTCATGGTCTTCTGGAAGACCACCATTTATTTAGATGAACAATTATATTAGTGAGTCTCCAGAATGTGACCTACGAAATGTGACTGCATTTGTGAGACTGATTCCATTCTCAAGACAGAAACCCCAAATAACAACACTCCTGGAGGCCTGTCTATCATAGCTGTGCTAGGCTGAACTCCTAGAGAGAATGGATCACATTTTAGTAACCCAAAGCAATTCCAGTGCCGAACCTTACATTTAACATAGGTCCAACACTCAGTAAATATTTGTCGAGTGAATGCCCTTCTGAAAAACTCCCAACACCAATGTGCAATGGTTTCTAGCAAATTATTTTTATACCATTTCATAAAGTCACAGAGATAACAGATGCAGGCTTGTTACTTACTTCCATGGAAGACAAAGATGTTGCATCTTTCTTAGTGTTCATGGGTTGTTGGTACCATCATGGGCATTGCTTAAGCTTTCTAAGCTCGGCTTTCAGAATGGGTGATTGGCTTTGTGTTGTCGTGTTTCTTTAACTACTTCTACCTCTCTCTTCCATCTTACCTCACATCTTGGCTCTGGTTTTGCACTACTAAGGTAATTATTCCATGTTCATGGTCACAGGTCTGGGATGGATTATAAATCCAAGGATGGAGTTTAGATACTTGATGAGGCCTTTACTATCTGGAATACTCTCTGTGTGCTCTCTACTTAAAGGCTTAGCTCTGTTGTCATTTTAATTCTTCTGTCTCCTTAATCTGAGCATGTTGTTCATATTAATGAGACTAACCTCCCAGTAACTCAGAAGCTCTCAAGTATGATCTCAATTTTAGCATAATCATGTTGTTCCCTTATGGCCACAGACAAGGAGATAGCAGATATGACAGCAAGATTACAGGTTCTGAAATCTGGAAGGCTTCAGTTCCAATCCACACCCTGAAATTTTCTGACATTCTAATCCTTGCAACACTGGGTACATATAAAAGGATGAATGAACTCTGGAAACATTAGGAAATTGTACTATTTGCCTTGAGAGTTGTATCATAGGAGAATAAGACATCTTTATTCTCTACTCAAGCTCTTGGCTCTTCTGTTTTTTGCATCCTTGGCTACTTGTGCCATTGCTCACCCCCATGGTTATTATTACAGCAAGTTTAGTGTGACTAACTCTGCTTTTACTTTTTCACCATGTTTTTCAGCCTCGTGTTTTTATATGCCAATGGTGCTTTGCCACACATGGTTATTTGGAGGGTATTTATTTATTTACTTATTGTCCTTTAAACAGTGTTTTCTTTATTATTGAGAATTTCATATATCTATACAATAAAAAATGATAATAGTTATTGTTCTCTTTCTCCCATATCAAATCCTCCATATCCATACCAGTATACTCTCAGTATCATGTGTATATATATATATGTATATATATATGTGTGTGTGTATATATATATATATATATACATGTATATATATATATATATACATGTATATATATATATAATAAAAAACATCACTAGGCAAAATTAGTGCTGCCCATCTGTGCATGGGTGTGACCTTTTACTCTACCATAGAAATATACTAGGGGTCACATCTTCAAAAAAAAATGAGTGACTCTGTCTTTCCCAGCAACTACCAACTATCTATAGCTCTTCAGTAAGGGCTATTACAAGGAGCCATCTTTTATAGTCAGTTTCTTCTGTTGAAGTCTAAACAAGACTTACATGTAGCATACATGAGTACCACTATGCTTGGCTTCCTTTTTTGTCCCTCTTCCCCCTTTTAGTGGAAAAATGGCTACCATTTATTTACCCCCCAGTTGTTACAGTGAACCGTGGGTGAATGGGATGCTCAGGTTGGACAATCACTTCTTCCTTTATCCTCCTAAAAGGACTGTTCTTAAGGCCAGCTCTTGATGCAGCTTCTGAGAAGACAGTCATGCAAGATGGGGTAGCCAGGTCCATCAATAGCCCTGTTGTTGCTCTTACTCTGTCTCTTTCCTCTTTGGGAAGCTCTTCTGGGATGTCACTCTTGAGACAAGTAGCTATCTTTTACCTTTTGGAAACTCAAGGTAAATGCCTACCATAGAAATATGTATTCTGCCTTTTTTTTTTTTTAACCTTGAGTCTGGGTCTTCCCATATAGCTAAAGCTGGCTTGGAAATCATTATGTAGCTCAAGTCTAGTCCTGAATCCATGGTCTTCTTGTGTTAATCTTCTGAGTGCTGGGATGACAGGTATGTGGTATCACAGCTGGCCCCAATGTGTTAAATAATAACAGTTTTAAGTGTCAGTTCCATAGCTTCTCTCCAGTCAGCCTGTATCGCTACATGAGTGAAATAAGGTGATGATGGAGGGACCCTGCTTTCTGAACCCTATGATACTCTCAAACCATAGCCAAGTTTTATCCTAGTTGCATTATTTTTACCAGGACTCAGAAGACCCACTTTTTTTTTCTGATTTTGTTATGTACCAGCTATGTGAAGTTGGTCAGGCCTCTGAATCTCATAACACCTCTGTATAATTAGGAATAGGATTTTTTTTATGTGATCATCATTAGTTTCTTCTAGCTGACCACTTAAATGACAAACAGAAAATATCTGTCCAAATGAAAGACCTTGCTATCCACAACCACAAAGCAGCAGCTTCCTGCCAAGCAGTGTTCTGTCAGGAGATTCCACAAGATGATTTCCCACACACTGGAAGAAAGTTTCAACAGAAGCTTTGAAAGGAATCCAGGATGGGTTGAAAACCTGACATCCTGGACTGTGGTTCATGTCTCCTGCTAATTAATATGTGAGAAATAACAGCTGAGTTTTCCATCCCTTGCACATTTATTTCATTTTTATTTGGGGCCTGCACTTTCTGTATGTCTCATACATTTTAGGTTTTACCTGGCTTTCAAATAAATTCCTTGTAAGTTGTCCTGCAAATGAAATTACTGTCTGGAAAACTGCAATTTCATCTTGAGAGTTTTATTATGCTAATAAATGTCAGAATTCTCAAATAAAGGAATGGCCTTCTTTTTTTCCCCTGAGCCTTACAAATATAATGAAAAACAGTCAGTCAGCTCCAAGACTCAGCAGAAGGAAAATTTACAATCTATAACTAGAAAGAGAAGCTGTAAAAAACAATATGCATCTTAATGGAAGATAAATTTCAGCAAATTAAAGGGCAAATTGGGGTACAGATTCTTGGAGATTCCTGTGCGGCAGGTATTCTTAGGGGATATTTAAGCATTTGTGTGCTAAAGGGGGGGCTAGGGAGAAAGTAGGTCTTTAGAAACATATGTGGTGGTGATGAATTGGGGCTTGGGGGACTTTGAGATCATGGTCACCTGTTGCTTTGGGCCTGGGGTGGCACTATAGGGAATGGTGGGAAAAATGTGGTAGAGGAGGTTTGTTTAACTCATGGCAGTCAGGAAACGGAGAGACAAGAGTGGCCAGGATCTCAGTAACCTCCTCAAAGGCACACCTAACTTTCTCCCTCTAGGCTCTGTCTCTCAAAGGGTCTGGCTCCTTCCAGTAGTATGTAGGCAAGGGACCAAGGTCATAATACATAGACCTATGGGAGACACTTCCAAACCACAGCACTCAGAAAGGATTCTAACCCCACTGTTTATGCTTCAGAGTAACTCAAGTAAACACCTTAAATTTGTAATAATCTCTCCATCTTAATGTTGGATTATAGCTCATTTCTAGTATTCACAAAGGGGACTCGTCTTTTTTGTCTGAGGATTCTAATCAACTGTAAGTAGTAACACACTTGCGTAAACACTTTATTTAGTCATAGGACATAGGTAACTGTGTTTTGTCCTCCAGCCTGTGAGGTCCTGGGGGTCAGAAAATGTCACCTGTGTATGTGTATTTTAGGGTACTTGGAACAGTCACTGTAGAGTTATTATTATTGACTAGTGACAACAGGATATACAGATTTTTAAAGACTTACTTTAATCTTTAGAGGACCTCTATAATGGAAAATCCCTGGTTGGGAGTGTCTGCTGCCCTGGGTTAGAAACCCCGAGTTACTGCTTTATGCCAGCAGGACAAACAACAAGCAAGCAAACAGATGAGTGTCAAAAGCAGCTTTGTTAACAAGCCAAGAGGGGGAAGATGAGTGCTGAAACCAAAATCATATCTTGTAAGGCCTGTGTGATACCCTGGCATGCAGCAGGAACCAGAGCCTATGCTAACCAGCTCATCCATACTGGTATTTTCTACAGGACCTCAGACTCGCCAACAAGAACACCACATGACTTTTTAAATAATTGAGGTAAAATGTTTTTAATATTTACCACTTACCCCTTCCCCCGACCCCTCATTCCCATGTGTATGCAGAGGCCAGAGCAGGACATTGGGTGTCTTCCTCTATGGCTGTCTGCCCTATTGCCTTGATTCAAGGTCACTCACTGAAAGAAAAGATTGCCATTTTGGTTAGGATGGCTGTCCATTGAGCTCTCAGGATTTGCCTGTTTAACTCTCAGTGTTGGGGTTATGGGCACATGGAGCCATGCCTGACTTTTTAGGTGGGTGCTAGGAATTTTAAATCAGATCCTTATCCTTGTAAGCAAGCACTTTCTCTTACAGAGCTGTATCCACAGACCTGTAATTTACACCATTTCAGTGGCTTTAAGTGCATTCATATTGGGATGGTTAGCACTATTCTAGAACTGTATTCACTCTGAAATAGTGTGAAACTGCAGATATTAAACAATGGTCTTCCCTCTCACCTTCCCACAGCCCTTGGGACCTGCCTTCTGCTTCTTGTCTTTACAAGATTGTGCCTGTGAGTGGAATCATGCAGTGTTTGTGTTTTCCTGAGTGCCTTATTTCACTTAGGATCACACCTTTAAGTGCCATTCATGTTGTAGATGAGTCAGAATGCCCAATTTAGGTATTCAACATCCTATACGATATGTACAGCTTATTTTATTTACCCATTTGATGGT